ATGAGCAGAATTTAAGAAATTAAAGTGCTGTGATCATTCCGTATTTAAAGCTAGCATACAAGCATTTTAGACTTATTTTTATAACGGAAAGTTAAATGAGGACATGATCTCTTCGTAAATGCAATCAACTAAAGCTATTGGTAATCACATTGTTATCACTCATTTTGGATTTTTCAAGTAACTGATTATTCACTGTAAGTAGGTCTATATTTATCAAAGTACATAGAAGCGTGATAATTTCTGTGCTCGAGTGAGCAATTTAAAGATAGTTGTCTGCAGCAGAGAAATTGCGGCGTCATAAAAATTCATGGTTTGTATCTGTGTATATTTCATTTACGCAGATACAATAACAACATAATTACGTCAGTGCGAACAACGCAAAAAACATTTACCAATTAGTACAAATGTTACATTAGAAATACGTGTATTTATATATGTCCACTATATACCGACTGTCATTGAATTACAGGGGATCCAAATATGTCTTGTCTTGTCTTTCTGTAAAAACAATTACTTACATATCGCTTGTTTTTTCAGTTCCACTACCATACATAAAGCATGTTGAAGCGTATTTGCGTTTAATTCTCGTCAGTAATAAATACAAAATTAAATAAAAACATTGATACAGTGTTCACAAAATTGAAATTATGCAAACTATAAACAAAAAGAAAGAATACTTTGGCATTATTACTACTAATATAAAACGTTCTTATATAAAACGTATTATATTATAGCATTGTCAATACCAACGAATTTGCCACAGATTATTCGCGATAATGTATTGCATTATTGAGCATCAAGGCCCCGTACCATGCATAGGAATACAATGAGTTCGGAAAAACAAATAAAGAAACGCGCATTTAATAATAAGGAAAATTATGGGTATGAAAACGAATAAAATCAAAACTGAAAATGAATAACTCTGAGCTATATGAAAAATAATTTGTTGTTCTTAGTTTACATGAAAAATGTCATTTCCGCCATAACTACAAACGCAAATCGTCGCCAGGCCAATCCCAACTTCGCGAGAAACACTCTGTACCGACGCCCAAAGCATAATAAACATAGTTTACAAAAAGCACGGTGGCCCGTTTTACCGATGTCGACGAATGCCAGTTAAATGTGCTGAAATATGCAAGAAATTAAAAAAATACTTCACAGCAGACTAAATTCCAATGAGTTCCAAGTTTGTATATTTTTTGTATACGTGATATGTTGAAATGACCGCTGCACACTGTATTGTGCATGTGTGTGTGTGTGAATACAAAGTGTGTTTTCGTTCATTTATGAGCCACCAGGGTGAACATTATATTATTCTTTAAATATTAAGCCAAATTATTCATCAAGCAGCATGTCATTTAGTTAGAAGCCATCTTTGGCAGAAAATATCATGTCATTTACAACAATGTATTTTTCATCCTGAACTAAAAGTTAATACCCAACGCTCTTGAACTCAATGTCTCGGAGGTTAGAAACAGTAATCTAGCCAGAAATTAAACACACAGAACAATTTGTTGATAGATTTCAATGACAATGCAGTTAACCATATATAAACTATGTTAAATATTTAATGTCTTTATTACTTATGAAATGTAATATGTATGATACGTTGCCAGGAATCAATAACGAATATGCGGATGACATTATCTCTAAATATTGCGGGTGATGAGTATCAATTTCCAAATGGATGCACCTATTGGGTTAATCACCGCCTTTTGAAAGTATAAGTACATTACAATATGCTACGGGCTCAACATGTGGAGCTAATTAAATTTTCTCTTTGTACAAATATTCCCATGTGTCCTAGCTTGTACACCTCCTAGGGCTGTCGTTGATAATTACTGTTGACTAGACTAGCTAAAGGTTTTGCATTCAATAATTAATGAGTTTGCGCATGCGTACCGTCTGAAATTCATCATCATTCATTCAAACAAGATATACTATAATATTGATAAAATTCAGGGCAAAGCGAGAGATGTCATGTATTTGACATGAATTTATAAACTATGTGACATTATACTGTACATAATCGTACATATGACGTGAAGTCTGAAGTTGAACAAAACACATAGTAGCTCACCGGAGATTGGAAATTTAAATTTGGAACGTTACGTTAGAGCATTACATCATCACCACATTCCATTACTCGCACATGAATATTCAAAATCCATATCGAAGTGCGTGAACAATTATTTTCCAAATATTTATTAGAATAATAATATCCCTAGGAGGAAAAGATGTATAATAATAAGGTTATTACGAGGATACTGTAAAGTATGCAAGAATACAGTGAATCGGAAGTATCGTATCGACCGTGCAGCGGAGGTCGATGCGAACGTGCACTGTCTTTTATTATTAGTAGAGGACGCTAAACACGTAATCGTTCCTAATATGGTAGTATGTAAATACCCAGTGCTATACCGCAAATTTACGGCACGCTGTATTTTATGACGTTATGGTGACAGATGTATAATCTTACATGTCATTATCACTTTTTATCAACTAAATTGTATTATTTGTTTAGAATTTAACGTTATCTACAAACGTCGACATAGGGTTCGTTTTGACTGTGTATCGTTCTCCGTACACTTTCGGTGCACGCATCTGGCGCGGCATCTACTTTTTAAAAATGTCTGCTGCAAAATTATCTGAATTTTCTCCGTCGCACATAGACATCATGAAAATATATATGATAGAACGTTTATTTCACGACAATCCCATGATATCGAGCACGTTTAATCACGACCTTGCTATTTCGACCCATATATTCGTGACTCCTCCAAATCCCCAGCATGAGCACTTAATAAATAAGATCCGATGTCACGAGGATTATTGTAATAGAATGTTAGTATTCTATATAAATATAATTTGACCTGCCATGAAATCAGCAACTAGACATCAGTCATGGCATTGCGGAACATAATGTGTCAGGCGACATTTAGGCACGGGGAATGGGAAATATGCATCACACAGCACAGTACAAATTTACGTAACGAACATAATTAATCTTGCCATCATGTTTAGTATCGTACAATCACAATCGGTTCAAAACCTCGACACGCCGGACGTCTCTCTCAGTATATATCAATCAACTTTATTCAATAAATCACAGTATTAATCTATTTTCAACATGTTCCTGTTTAACTAACAACAATAAATTACATAGTATTGTATGCTAAATGATGATACCTACAAAATACATAGACTAGTCATTGTTACTCTTCATTTCAGACAAATATTTGTATACGTGCTTGAAATCTGTAAAATAAAAAAAAATCAGCAAAACTTCATCCTGATCACAAAACATAAAATATACGCCTAAGTAATACAGACTGATTTTACCATCAAACATAAACAATTCTCGGCTGGTGACCCAGATCTGTTCAAGGCAGCATAGTGTAAACATGACAAGACTGGAATGAAACACAATCCATCTTATCGCATCACTGTACTAACAACTACCATCGGACGTCATTGACGAAACAAAGTGTAATCCATGAACTACAATGATTTGTGTCTGTAAGATTAATAGCATAACCTTTTCCTATTAAGTGATAAATTGAAAAAAAAATGTGTCGCTTCATCAATGATTGTATGTTTTATCATACATTGCTATACAAGACGTATTCTCTGTCTGGTGATCTAAATATACACGCGAATAGACTAGACTGAACTGGAACAGATTATTAAAATGGATTGTGAGCGTATGCAATGCGATTAGGGAAATATTTACCAAACAGTCGTTACTATATTACGTTAAACGTTTTAACAGAGGAATAAAATAAATTTGGTCAATATACGTAATACAAATTTAAACCTTTCAAATGTCAGACATTGGGCTAATACATTGATAGGTAAATATGTCTATGAAAGAAACTAAAATACTTTTAGAAATACATTAGAAAAGTAAAACATTTTAAGCATGTCCTACATTTGAACTATAGAATACTAATCATACATATAACTGCATGTTAGGAATTCAACATATGGCATTTAAGCGGTAGGTTATCAACATAATAGAATTGTACTTACTACATTAATGTAATTCACATTAGTAAAACAGCGAATGAAACACCCAATAATGAATTTAATATATTTAATTTAGATTTGGTCTGAAATAGCACACTAGAGACTGTATACAATGATTTCAGGTCAATACATGAGATAAAGCATGAATGGGAATAGAATGCTGTTAAAAAGCATGAACTAATTGTCTTATATTATCACTTCAGCTTGAAAGATTCCCTATTTGACACAGTGCGAAGAGTATTATATCTGATAACAGATATATTGTGTTTAACAATTAAACAGTTTTTATGGAGAGGTATTAATAAGGTATTAGATAATCATCACACAAATCGCGAAATGCTCATGTACGCAGTTCCATCGAAACCGGAGTGGACCCCAGTGAGATATTCATAGAACGATTCACACCTACATACCATCCCTCTAGAAACTATCGCTGTAACAAATACTGTACAGGTATGAATGCAGAAATGTTGTGATATAATTGCAAAAATTGTGTTAGTCATAAAAATAGCTAAATGGAGCACTTTAAACCGTGTAACATCCTGTGATTAGATTACAATTAAAAATCAGATTGCATTTTGGGACAATTTAAAAAGGTATAGTTGAGGTTTTTGTGAACGTTTTACATTGGTGACACTAGATACCATCTGCTTTTCGTTCTATTACATTAAATTACAGTCAACAAGCTTCCGAACAAATGCAGTATTCTGTTCCGATGAACGCGGTAGGGCAGATATATATGCGCACGCGTGGTTTAAGTCAAATATGATATTTACACGTTGATATGAATATATCACTTTCGACTCACTATCATATCAAAGTGTTACTTGTAGTTGTTAATTCTGATAATGATGTTATAAATACTATTCACCAAAACCTATACATGGAAATAACGACATATTTAAATACTTTCCTTTGTTTAACACACCTTTTCGCATATTCTGTAAGAGTCATTCATGAAGTTCACACATTCACACAGTCGTAGCCGTGCACGACGTATAAGCAGAATTGTGTCGTTTCCTCCGTCTTGTATCATTGCCATCATTTAATCGCGTACTGCCCGTCAGTGTGCCACTTCTTTGGTTGTGGCGCGCTGATATAAAACCAAAGGCTCTGCCGAACGCCTTCCTGTAGTTGGAACTGAGGGCATTGTATATCAATGGATTGACAGCGGAATTCACCTCCAGAAATATAGTACTCATATTCACGGTCAGCTTCACGCGACATATCTGTTGCGAAGATAAGATTGACATCAACAAAAAAATTGACCCAAATACGGAAGGAATAGTGCACACAAAGTACACCAGCGCAGTGACGAGACATACACGGATAATCTGTTTCTCGTGACTCTTTACAGAATTCGAGGACTGTCGAACTTGTTTGATAATTACTACGTAGATCGTCAAAACTGTTGCCATGAGCAAACCCACACATATCAAAAACAAAACTCCGTCAACAATTTGCACAGTTTCCATTATAGTGTCATCCGTACACGAAATGAATGTGCCAATAACTAAAATCGTTGATAATGCCCAGATCGCAACGATTACCATTTGGACAAATCGTTTCTTGTGAATAACCCCATTGCGGTACACCAGCGGTTTACACATAGCTAGATAACGTTCGACGCTCAGCATAGTCACGGTAAACATAGACACATATTGACTGACGCGCGATGGTAGCAGTAAATAACAGTACAACATATCCAGTCGACATTTTTCTGGATCGTATAGTATGCATACCCACATGAACAGATGCGTGCTTAAATGTAGCAAATCAGCAACAGCGAGATTGACCAGATAAGCATTGGTCACGGTTCTCATGGAGGGTACGCGAAGAACAACAAACATAAAAGCAGCATTACCAATTATACCCAGTGTCGATATAACACTCCCAAGATAGAACTGACCCTTTCCTAAATGCAAGCACGGGTTATCCATGATTTCGTAATTGGTTGCATTACCATTTACTGCACTCGATGCATTAAATGCCATGACTATTTCTTTCCAATGAAAAGCCGAACGATACACACGCAAGTACCTTGATATGCTGTTTATATCCTGAATGGGTGAGTAAATTACTACTGTAAACGTATTAGCTGATCAGGTGTGGTGCCTGTGTGATATAAGCCAGTATAATGTAATGACGTCTTATTTATCCTCGTAGGTATTCAACTGGAACTATGCGACTGGTTGAACAAGTCGACTTTGAAGTAGTCGTGCGGTTTTGTCCATACGTTCCTTGTTCGCTTGACAGGCGGTCTCGAAAATTGCATTAAAACGCCGCAGACTTTGCTGTTTCATCTAATGGATTCTATCTCCTACTTGCAACAAACAAAACACTGTCAGCTAGTAGGATGACTAAGCGCTAAAGAAGAGACTGAGTGCAGCTCAGATCACGTCTTGATGTACCACATTACACCGAATCGGCGACTAGCAAACTGTCAATCGGTCACCATGGTTACATCTTAGAGTAAGCATTTATTGCATACGTAGGTAGGCTGGTACTGGATATGCAAACTGACTGTGAATACATTATCATTATTTCGTCTTAATGAAAACTAACCCCTCTTTAACTCGGTTACGTGCATATTCCAAATATTATAATATTTACAGACAGTATGTCATATCAGTTGCGGTCCTTATTGCGCTGGCATGGATGTGTCCATGGATTGAATTTATCTGTATAGACACAGAGACTGTTATAATGTAATGTGAACAAATACACGTAGACAATGATTCACGATATGTATTCACGTTATGTAAACTCCTGTCATCTTTCGTATCGAGTCTCGTTATTGATAATAATTTCAATCATCTACCAAACATTCCTCATTCAAATGGCGTATAGTTATAGCAATATTTTGGTACGACATGTAAAAATAATGAAAATTATCAGCACGGCTATGTGGGGGAGGTGATTGTAAACTATTATTTTTCACAAACATAAACATTGAAGTTGGTCTTTTATTTTATTTTATAACAACTACTTTCGTTATCATCTCAGGCTTAGCATTAGACGAGAAAACACAGTCAGTATGTTTTACCTCAGCTGACTGGTAATACTAAGACATCTGAAAATCAAATATTGAACTGAAGTCATTGTTGTCCTTTCACTGCAGCGAGTGATGGGGATTAGTTATTAGACTAAAATGCTTATTATTGAAACTAACGTACATTATCTGAACGTGTATAATGCCAACTCTTCATCACTTACGCAGGTCATTAAACAATACTTGAATATTCTATTTTTGGTCACGCGAGGCATTAATAAGTATAACTGGGAACAGATTATACCGTTCGAGTTGTCCTCAAATAACATGCATACTACTTAACACACTTTATATAATGGGTAAACGCATATAGGCTTATGGTTTTTCAAAAGAAGATTTCATTTTATTACTTCCATAATAATTTGAAACTTGAGAGAAGCCAACAATAAACCATATCACACATGAAAAATACTCCCACTCTATACAAATCTGAGTGAGTCTATGCCAAGGTACATACTCTTGGTGGCGCTCTATTCAAGTCTTTGTACATGCAATTTGACGTTTGTTTTGGTTGTAGGCACACTATATCCACGTATCTGAGTTTTTTTTTTTTTTTTTTTTTGGGGGGGGGGGGGTTTCGCCACAGATAATACAATATCAATCAACCCAAATTTGATTTGTCGGGGAATTTTGCTGCAACACACGTTAGTACACAAATGGATTGTATTACACAAGTTATTCTCCTTTTCGTGTGTTTTAATTTTCTAAATATAATATATATACATACAACAGTCACAAGTTGGCATTCACGCTTACTGATCAATATTTAAGTTTGTGTCACGGGTATTTTATTTAGAGCGTCCCGTTACATGAAACAATTTATAGTTCGTCAGAAACTAT